ATAGAGTTAAATTTTATAATTATTATGCTGATGAGAAGGATATGAGTAAGATAAGAGTAGAGACAGTTTTTAGGAATGAAATTATGAACAATGAAGAGCAAGATAAGAAAGCAGGTAGAGATGTAGAAGATGGAAATTATGTAGATGTAGATCTCTTGATGAACCTGATGAATACCCAGTGTGAAAATTGTAATGAGCCATTAGTGATAGGTTTTGAAGACGGCAAGGTTTCATCAAATATTAGCTGTCAAAGGGTTAATAATGAACTTGGACACTTTAAGGATAATTGTATAGGCTTATGTGTTCAATGTAATTGCGCCTTTTCAAATAAAATATCATTGTGAAAATTGTTTTAAAGAAATACTGGTTATAATTTATATTAGGGAATGAGTGGGTATGAAAAGGGACAAATTTATAAAGTTGTGGATGTTGGTTTTCATATGTGCTACATTGGTTCAACAACTGAAAAATTGGTAAAAAGGTTTGGGAGACATAGAAGGCAATATAGGTCTTATCTTTTAGGCAAAAGGGGTAAAATTACAGTTTTTGATATTTTTGATAAATACGGAATTGAAAATGGTAAAATTTATTGGATTGAAGAATACCCTTGTAGTAGCAAAAAAGAACTTGAAGCAAGAGAAGGGGAGCATATCAAAAATACAAAGTGTGTGAATAAACGGATAGAAGGCACAACATTACAAGAATACAGGGAAAGGAAAAGGGTTAAACGCAGGGAATATATGAACCAATACTATCATCAAAAGAAAGAAACAATATGTGAAAAAAATACTTGTGAGTGCGGGACTACTCTTACAAAACAGCACAAAGCAAGACAGAAAAGAAGCAAACAGCATCAAGACTGGCTGCAGCAACAAAAAGAAGCATAACTGATATAATATTTACTTATTATATCATCTATTCTATAATGACTGATAGTAAGAAGCAAAACATAATCAATGATATATATTTTGATAAGGCTGGGTTTGGTTCTTTAAAAACAACCCTTGAAGACAGCAAGAAGAAAGATAGTAGCATTACTATGGATGATGTAAGGCAATTCTTTAGAAACAATGTTGAAATAAAAGCAAAGCAAAGATGGTATAATTCCTTCACAGCACCAAAAAATAATCATACTTATCAGATAGATTTGTTCTTTATCGGGTATTATGATTTTGATGAGGAACAAAAGTTCAGAGGAGGGTTAGTGTGCATTGATGTTTTGAGCAAGTATGCCGTTGTTGTTCCAATTAAAACTAAAAAATGGTGAGGATGTCCTTGAAGCAACTAAAGAGGCATTAGGGAAAATGGGTAAGAAGCCTAAAATGATTTATACAGATGATGAGAGAGCAATAGCAGGTGAAGACTTTAAGGATTATGTGGATGGTGAAGGTATAACCTTACATAGGACTAGAGGACACCCAGCATTTGCTGAAAGATTTATACGCACATACAAAGATATGCTTTTTGAAAGAGTAGAGGCTGATGAAAAGAAGGGTAAGGAAAACATCCAATGGGTTGATTACAATTTAGAAATTATGCTGACATACAATGATAAAATGAAGCATTCCGCTACAGGTATGACACCAAAAGAGGCAAGGAAAGATAACAATGAATTCAGAGCAATGCTGAATGTAGCATCAAAGGCAAAGAAAGAAAGAATATACCCAACATTAGAGGTGGGAGACAAAGTAAAGATAATGAGAAAGAAAGCAATTACAGAGAAAGAAAGAACTTCCCACTGGCTGAATGGTTATTATGTTGTGCAAGAGATTGCAGAAAATTGAACCAGCCATATTACAAATTAACTGATTACCCAAGATTGTTGATGAGGCATGAACTTTTAAAGATTTAGTGTTTTTAGAAAGCCATGATGCAACCATGAGATGGTTGATTTGATGTGCTCTTTGGTTTCGTGGTTTTGTTTTGCCCTTCATTTGTTTCTCCTCACGAATTTGTGTTTGACTGGGTCATTGGCTGGGATTGCTCCATGTTCCTTTGCCCTTCCTCGCCTTGGCTTTGTCATCAATCTCTTCTGCATCCTGTTGTCGGGGCGCTCAGCTGTTGGGAACATGTCAGTTGGAGGTTTGAAGCCACATGTTCTTGGAGAGCCTGACCTTGGAATTTGTTTCAATTTGAGCACCTTTAACATTCTCAATTGGAAAGCTACAGAAATTAGCTCTTTCAGTTTGAGCTTGGAATTTTGTGTCATTTTTCAGCATCTTTTGCTCAAACCACTCGGGCACGCTTTTTAGCTTAGGGGTGTCGGCATGTTCATGGCGCACATCCGTTTTGTCGCTTGCCTCATGATGATCATGATGAGGCAAGCGACAAAACGGATTCATCATCCTTGCATTGAGCGCTGGAGCTGCAGACACCAACAGCACGGGCATCGCGGGTTACTCGCAAAACACGAGCTGGAAACATGTCGGGTATCATGAAAAAAATCTTCATCACGGTCATCATCATGATGGGCATGGTCCTGGGCCCTGGAGAAAAGAGACGGCACAAGATTATGACGGACCCGGCGAATTCACCCGTTGAGACAGGCATCACTTTCATCACGCCATTTGCTCGCCAATTTTGGCAACGAAGAAAGTGCGTGAGAACGCTTGCTTCGCCACCAGGGCGACTTGCAAAACAGGGCTCTTGGCTGATGCTTTTATGATTGACAAGGTCTGTAGGTAGCAAGGTTTCAGGGTGTCAAGTAGGAATAGGACATTGCTTCAATAGAGCATTGATGCCAGTGAGCCCTCAAAAGCTTGACATTCAGTGCATGCATGCCTGATACAAAGACAAACCCTTCCAAAAACTTGAGAAGACTGGCACAAACAAGTATGGACACACACACACAATCCTTTTCACTCCATTTCGCCTCAAAAGTTTGGATTACTGTGCCATTTACATCGCACTGAGGTTAAGAAGACATGGTTATCAACAAGTTCATGAAGGGCGGTTTGGGCATGGCAATTGCGGTAATGAAAGATGTGATGCTGTTGTGATATGCTAGTTTGTATGTATGCTGGTATGTATGCTGGGGGGTCGGATAGTATATTGGCTGGGGCTGAGGCTTCCCCTATAGGGGGAGACTGTGGTAGTTAATCCCATAATCTTCCTGATAAATGGTTATGAAAATTATGTTGGTTATCCCCATAAAATTGATAACATAATTCTATTAAATTTATGTTGCAATTATTTTCTAGGACTATTTCAAGCAATTAAGTTTTCTAGAAAGAACACCTATGAAATAGATAAGGTAAGATGATGTATATTTGTATATGCTTTGATGAACATTATTCAATACAATTATGATGATTATATTATATAATTTTTACGGATGAGACGGATGAGATGGGTTGATATGATGAGCTTGTTATGGTTTATGTTATTGGTTTTATTAATAGTAGGTTGTTAGGATTTTGTTATTGTTGTTTTGTTGTTATGTTTTTGTTTGTATTTTGTTTGTAATTAGTAGGTTGTTTTGATTTTGTTATTGTTGTTATGATTTATGGTATAGACTATTTTATAATCTATTGTATTGTCTATGTTGTTTTGTTTGTTTCTTTTGTTGTTTGCTGTTATGATTTTGTTGTTGATTATGTTATAATCTAGGGAAAAGGGATAGGAAAGACACGTAAAGAGTTATTACCTATCTATAGTAGGTAATGGAGGATACTAAAGTCAAGTGTGCTAAATGTTTTAAGGAAATGGAAGAGGGTAAATACAAAACTTGTGATAAATGTAGGGAATATATGAGGGCTAATCATCAAAAGAACAAAACAAAAATATATTGAAAGGAGGAGGGACTATTATTACAATCATATAGAGGAGGCAAAGGAATATGCTAGAAATTATGGTAGGACACACAGGGAGGAAATAAATGAAAGAAGAAGAAATCATAGAGCAGACAACATTGAACAAGTGAATGCTAAAATAAAATGGATGACCTGCCCTGTATGTGATGATTATGAAATTCAATGTAAGAATTACAAGAGACACGCACAAACAACAAAGCATCTGGAGAACTTGAAGAAACAGCAAGCATAAATTTCATTTTATAATTTCAAAACTATAAAAGTGAAATTGTTTTTTTGTTATGATTTATGGTATAGTATTTTTTATAATCTATTGTATTGTTTAGGTTGTTTCAGTTGATTTTGTTTTGTTGTTTTGTTGTTATGATTTATGTTATTGTTTTCTATAAGGTGTTGCTCCCCTGTCTTTGGTATCAACCCCATAGAATTTGCTTGTATAGTAATGTGGGCGGTTAGATGAGAAAGACGGGGGAGCACGATGCAAACTAATATATAATATATGTAGTATATATATATATTATATTATATATAATATATAATATAGTATTATATATATATATATTATAATATATAGTATATACATAATATATATGTATATATATAATATAAACTATATGATATAAGATATAATATAAATATAATATAATATATGTAATATATATATACCATATATAATATATACAATATATATATATAATGTGCAAATATAGTATGTATAAAATATATATTATTTAATATATATTTTATATAATATATATAATATAATATAATATATATATAATAATGTATGTAATATAATATATATATATATATATATACATAAATTATATAATATATGTAGTATATATATTATATAATATATTATTTATTATATATTATATATTATATATTATACATTATATATTATATATTATATATTATATATTATTTATTATATATTATATATAAAAATAGTAATAATAATAATAACATTCATAATATTCAAATACATCTATATATATATATCTAATACTGATATATATATATATATGTATTATATATATTATATATTTTATTTATGATATATAATATAATTTAGTATAATATAGTATAATATAATATGTAATAATATAATATAATAGACTGTATATTTAGATATACACATATGATAACGTACATGGATCCATAGGCTCTCCGTTGCACGGCGAGGAGTCCTGTGCAGGTCGCTCCAGAAAGGCCAACATGTTTCACTGGGGATATAGATATAATATATATATATATATATCTACAAGGTGGTGCCCCATAATTAGCTAAGTTGGTTTATAACTCCCATAACTATGGTTTATTGTAGGTATAACTATAGTTAATGGGGTTTATAAACCAACTTATAACTAAGGGGCCCCACATTGTATGTATTTGTATAATACATATAATAATGGATATATCTGTATATATCTGTATATATCTGTATATATCTGTAGAATGCTATGTATATATCTACTAATACTATGTATCTGTATATATCTAATACATATGTATGTATGCGATGTGATGTAATGTATGTCACAAGTATGCAGATCTTGGAACATCATTATCCGGTTTGTACTGGGAACATTTGTCTATTTGGGATGATCACTATCAGGATCCCCAAATGGATGATTCTGATAGTGGTCGCTGGGATCGTTTACCAGTAGTACCGCACAAGGCGGTGGCGGAAGTTTCAGAATAGGAAACCTATAGGAGACGTTGGTTGTTGTGAATCATGGATGGCAGAGCGAATCCACTGATTGACCGAAAGGTGGTTGGAGTTGTGTTGCTGGAATGGTTGCAATGGTTGCAGTGGTCACCTCACCCACAACTGCTGGATGTAGTGTGATGTACTGCAACTGTAGTTGTTGTAGTTGTAGTTGTAGTTGTTGTTGTTGTTGATGTTGTTGTAGTTGTAGCTGTAGTTGTTGTGTGGTTGTAGTCGTTGTGTAGTGTAGTTGTAGTAGCAGTAGTAGTTGTTGTTGTTTTTGTTGTTGTAGTTGTCGTTGTTGTTGTTGCTGTTGCTGTAGTTGTAGTAGTTGTTGTTGTTGTAGTTGTAGTTGTTGTTGTTGTTGTTGTTGTTGTAGTTGTAGTTCTAGTTCTAGTTGTAGTTGTTGTGTAGTTGTAGTTGTAGTTGTAGTTGTAGTTGTAGTTGTTGTGGTTGTTGTTGTTGTTGTTGTTGTTGTTGTCGTTGTTGTTGTTGTTGCTGTTGCTGTTGTCGTCGAAGTTAGGGTAGTTAAGTTAGTCGAGTTAGTTAAGTTAAGCAGTGTCTACTTTTTCGACATCTTCACGTCAAAAAAGGCTCAAAACCCTCAGTTTTTTACACTTTTGACTTCGAAATGTGCTTCGTGCCTTTTTCGACACTTTTTCGACATCTGAACCTCCAAAAGTGGTCCGAGACCGTCAGTTTTTATCACTTTTGACTTGGAAATGAGCTTCGCGCCACAACGGCGCACACTTTTTCGACATCTCAACTTCCAAAAGTGGTCCGACCATGGTGTGTTTTGTACATTTTGACTTCAAAATGAGCTTCGCGCCACAACGGCGCACACTTTTTCGACATCTCAACTTCCAAAAGTGGTCCGACCATGGTGTGTTTTGTACATTTTGACTTCAAAATGTGCTTCGCGCCACAACGGCGTGCACTTTTTCGACATCTCAACTTCCAAAAGTGGTCCGCTCCTCTAGTGTTTTGTCCATTTTGACTTGGAAATGTGCTTCGCGCCACAACGGCGTGCACTTTTTCATGTCTCATCTGGCCAGCTGGCTCCGCACCCGCCGCTTTAGCGAGCCTACTTTTCGACCCTCCGGAGCCACAAATCATTGGAAAAATACAGTGAATCGCGACTTTCCTACCTTTTCGCGCATCTGCATCTTCTTTCTTCTGACCTTTTCTCTTCTGACTCTTTTCACCTCTGCTTTTCAACTGTCCATATTGTCGAAAGTTTCACTTCTAAACTTCCTTCGATTATTGGTACCACATTATACAGACTGTATATGACTCTATTGCATGCTAATTGCGGCTAGCCATAAACCTCCTATTTCAGTTGCTATTGACGTAAACAGTGATATTTCAAAATGGAACGCATGTCATGAATGGAGTCGCTGTGGCACAGGCACAACATGTAGAATATTGATGAGCTAACAAGGATATTTCAATCTCACAATCTGATGACAATTCCAACAAGCCATGTGTATCTCGTCTATTTCTGTTTATTCTATGATGTTATATTTACCATCTGGTTATTTAACATAGCCATGGAAAATCCCTGAACTAAATGGAGGTTTCTAGCTGGGAAAATCATCTATTTCTATGGGACATCTATACCATGGCTATGTTAAATAACAAGAGGGTATAAGTTGTTTTCTCATGGAAGTTCCCCATTTCAGGACATAAAATAGATATTTCAGGTCAATCAGATCCAATAAATTGGGATATGTACCCGGCCTGGTAAACATACAAAAAACGATGGAAAATCACCATTTACAATGGGTAAATCCACTATAAATGGCCATTTTCAATAGCTATGTTAGTCATTACCAGAGGGTAACTCATGATTTCCCTTCTTAGACTTGACTGCCGGAGAGGCTTGGCCGTCCAACTGTTCTCAGCTGACTTGAAGAGAAGATCCTCGGCACGATGGTGAATGATGGTTTAATACTGATTTAATATGATTTATTATTACATATTATTACTACCCTCTGGTAAATGAACATAGACCCTGAACATAGCCATTGTTTAGTTGAAACTAATTTTCTCCTATTTGCCAGGGTCTATGTTAATTTATCAGAGGCTAAACATAATTCCGGGTAAATTATTGCGGGCCAATTGATGGTCCGTACTCGCAAGCTGTAGGGGAAATCATCCCGAGATGGTCTTAAATCTGGTTTGGAAAAGATTCTCTAGCTGGTTGGTGGTTTGGAGCATTTTTTTTTGTTTCCATATATTGGGAATAATCATACGAACTGACTTTCATATTTTTCAGAGGGGTAGGTATACCACCAACCAGCTAGAATTTCCCAGGTGATGAAGTTTTGTTCATGTGGTTATGTAAACATGATCGATGGTGACTAATGATGCATGTGTGTATCACGTGATGAATAAATATAATGTGTCATATAACAGTAGTAATTACTAGTGATATAATCACAATATACAATTAGAAGTAGTCATAATCTGTTGAATTAGATCACTAGTAATAATGTGATGATTGTGGAATGGATGAAGCCTCGCAAGGATCTTTTTCTGAGATCAGTTCCTCATCGACCAGATTTTCCATGTGAAAAAAATCAGAGCTTGCCATGTGAAAAAAATCCGGCAGAGTACACATGTAATATATGTAATATGATGTAATATGCTTGCTCCTCAAAAAAAATGAGAGAGACAGCAGCTTGTTGAAAAATTCGGATCCATCCCGTTTTGCCAAAGGATGCAATAAGAGCTGCTGCTTGAGGATGTACTTCCACGTCAGTCAACTCGAAGGTGAGTTGAGTAGGCAGTAGGCCCAGTAGGGGTGAGTTGAGCTTGAGTTTTTTTAGATGGCGGAACTCAATGGTTCCTACCCCTTGGTCCGATATTACATAGCTATGGAAGCCCCCATCATGCCATCTAGTTGGATGGATTCCCTTGAGAAAAACATGGTGAAACCCTCCAGATCGAAAATTCCTCGTTTACTGGATACCCAGCTTCCAGTCAATGCAGAAGAAACATAGATGCCAAAGCTCAAAAGTTGTGCGCTTGTGGGGAGGAGAGATGGAGGATGTTTGTTCGTGTAGATCCTACATGTCCTTCATTCCAAAAACGTAGTAGGTCCTGTTACACATATCATATATATATATATATATATATATTATATATATATATATTAATATTACGTATATAATATACGTATAGTAATTATACACCAGCACAATGTCATGAATGTACACCATATGATAGTCATGTACAGCAGGCCATTGAGAACGGATAGAATCGGATAGAACGAGAGGTGTTCGAACGGCCCGTGATTTTGCCGCATTTGAGCATCGCTGGCTCGCTGCATGTAGGGAAAAACAAGAACTAGAAGGAAAAATTGTTTTTTTGAATTCAAAAAAAAAATAATTCGAAAAATGTTGAAACTAGAAGATATTTGAAAAAGGCGATGGATTAAAACAAACTGACAAAAATATGGTTCGTCTTCTTGGAGCCTCACAAAGCCTGACGTCTGACTTACGATGGCAGCCTTGGCTGTGAAATTGCAGTTGGAAAAAACATGAACACATACCCCCTGGTAATTTAACATAGCTGACATAGCTATTGAACATGGCCATTTATAGTTGATGTTCACAATTTTTCCCATGAAAACATGGTGATTTTCCATAGTTATGTTAGTTTACCAGAGGGTATTTGAAAAAAAACAAGCCGATATATACAAATGGACCTAGTCTACCCAGTCGCATACGTGAGCATCAGGGGGTACAGCCGCAACGTAGAGAAGTTCTCCAGTCGTTCCCACCCCTGGCCCCAGCCATGGCAGCCGTGTCACCACGTCCCTGGATTAGCACAGGCGCGACGCATGCAACGCGAGATCACTATCAGAATTATAGTAATTATATAGAATTATCCCTAATTGTACCATATATGATTACTATAATAATTGGTAATTACTATTGTAATTATTATTGTATGTATGTATGTATGTATATATATATATATATTGGTAATTACAATATATAATTCTGGAACAATAATAATTACAATATATATATATATAGTAATATTGTACCATATTGTACCATAATTCTTGACTAAATCCCAGCTGTTTTTTTTTTGTCCGAAAAGAATGGGATTTAGTAATGGAGGATGCTGGATGAATTATAACGACCTCACTGCGACGTCACTGGAATGATCGTTGGTAGGGGTAACATTACAGAGAAAGAAAGAACTTCCCACTGGCTGAATGGCTATTATGTTGTGCAAGAGATTGCAGAAAAATTGAACCAGCCATATTACAAATTAACTGATTACCCAAGATTGTTGATGAGGCATGAACTTTTAAAGATTTAGTGTTTTTAGAAAGCCATGATGCAACCATGAGATGGTTGATTTGATGTGCTCTTTGGTTTCGTGGTTTTGTTTTGCCCTTCATTTGTTTCTCCCCACGAATTTGTGTTTGACTGGGTCATTGGCTGGGATTGCTCCATGTTCCTTTGCCCTTCCTCGCCTTGGCTTTGTCATCAATCTCTTCTGCATCCTGTTGTCGGGGCGCTCAGCTGTTGTGAACATGTCAGTTGGAGGTTTGAAGCCACATGTTCTTGGAGAGCTTGACCTCGGAATTTGTTTCAATTTGAGCACCTTTAACATTCTCAATTGGAAAGCTACAGAAATTAGCTCTTTCAGTTTGAGCTTGGAATTTTGTGTCATTTTTCAGCATCTTTTGCTCAAACCACTCGGGCACGCTTTTTAGCTTAGGAGTGTCGGCATGTTCATGGCGCACATCCGTTTTGTCGCTTGCCTCATGATGATCATGATGAGGCAAGCGACCAACCGGATTCATCATCCTTGCATTGAGCGCTGGAGCTGCAGACACCAACAGCACGGGCATCGCGGGTTACTCGCAAAACACGAGCTGGAAACATGTCGGGTATCATGAAAAAAATCTTCATCATCATCATCATGATGGGCATGGTCCTGGGCCCTGGAGAAAAGAGACGGCACAAGATTATGACGGACCCGGCGAATTCACCCGTTGAGACAGGCATCACTTTCATCACGCCATTTGCTCGCCAATTTTGGCAACGAAGAAAGTGCGTGAGAACGCTTGCTTCGCCACCAGGGCGACTTGCAAAACAGGGCTCTTGGCTGATGCTTTTATGATTGACAGGTCTGTAGGTAGCAAGGTTTCAGGGTGTCAAGTAGGAATAGGACATTGCTTCAATAGAGCATTGATGCCAGTGAGCCTTCAAAAGCTTGACATTCAGTGCATGCATGCCTGATACAAAGACAAACCCTTCCAAAAACTTGAGAAGACTGGCACAAACAAGTATGGACACACACACACAATCCTTTTCACTCCATTTCGCCCCAAAAGTTTGGATTGCTGTGCCATTTACATCGCACTGAGGTTAAGAAGACATGGTTATCAACAAGTTAATTAAGGGCGGTTTGGGCATGGCAATTGCGGTAATGAAAGATGTGATGCTGTTGTGATATGCTAGTTTGTATGTATGCTGGTATGTATGCTGGGGGGTCGGATAGTATATTGGCTGGGGGCTGAGGCTTCCCCTTTAGGGGGAGACTGTGGTAATTAATCCCATAATCTTCCTGATAAATGGTTATGAAAATTATGTTGGTTATCCCCATAAATTTGATAAAATAATTCTATTAAATTTATGTTGCAATTATTTTCTAGGACTATTTCAAGCAAATAAGTTTTCTAGAAAGAACACCTATGAAATAGATAAGGTAAGATGATGTATATTTGTATATGCTTTGATGAACATTATTCAATACAATTATGATGATTATATTATATAATTTTTACGGATGAGACGGATGAGATGGGTTGATATGATGAGCTTGTTATGGTTTATGTTATTGGTTTTATTAATAGTAGGTTGTTAGGATTTTGTTATTGTTGTTTTGTTGTTATGTTTTTGTTTGTATTTTGTTTGTAATTAGTAGGTTGTTTTGATTTTGTTATTGTTGTTATGATTTATGGTATAGACTATTTTATAATCTATTGTATTGTCTATGTTGTTTTGTTTGTTTCTTTTGTTGTTTGCTGTTATGATTTTGTTGTTGATTATGTTATAATCTAGGGAAAAGGGATAGGAAAGACACTTAAAGAGTTATTACCTATCTATAGTAGGTAATGGAGGATACTAAAGTCAAGTGTGCTAAATGTTTTAAGGAAATGGAAGAGGGTAAATACAAAACTTGTGATAAATGTAGGGAATATATGAGGGCTAATCATCAAAAGAACAAAGAAAAATATAATGAAAGGAGTAGAGACTATTATTACAATCATATAGAGGAGGCAAAGGAATATGCTAGAAATTATGGTAGGACACACAGGGAAGAAATAAATGAAAGAAGAAGAAATCATAGAGCGGAAAACATTGAACAAGTGAATGCTAAAATAAAATGGATGACCTGCCCTGTATGTGATGATTATGAAATTCAATGTAAGAATTACAAGAGACACGCACAAACAACAAAGCATCTGGAGAACTTGAAGAAACAGCAAACATAAATTTCATTGTATAATTTCAAAACTATAAAAGTGAAATTGTTTTTTTGTTATGATTTATGGTATAGTCTTTTTTATAATCTATTGTATTGTTTAGGTTGTTTCAGTTTTTTTTGTTTTGTTGTTTTGTTGTTATGATTTATGTTATAGTTTTCTACAAGGTGTTGCTCCCCTGTCTTTGGTATCAGCCCCATAGAATTTGCTTGTATAATAATGTGGGCGGTTAGATGAGAAAGACGGGGGAGCACAATGCTAACTAATATATAATATATGTAGTATATATATATATATATTATATTTTATATAATATATAATATAGTATATTATATATATATATTATAATATATAGTATATAATATATATATATTATGAATATAATATAATATATATTATATAAGATATAGTACATATATAAAATATAATATATGTAATATATATATACCATATATAATATATACAATATATATATATATATATATATAATATGTAAATATAGTATGTATAATATATATTTTAGATAATATATATTTATATAATATATATAAAATGATAAAATATAATATAATTTAATATAATATGATACAATATAATATAATATAATATAATAGAATATGATTTACAATATTAAGATAAGATAAGATAATAAGAATATATTTTGGGTAAATATAATACTATATAATATAATATAATATAATAGAATAGAAATATATATATATATATATATTATACATACTTTATTTAATATACAATATATGTAGTATATATATATAAAAATTATATTATATATTATATATTATATATTATTTTATTATATATTATATAATAATAATAATAATAATAACATTCATAATATATATATATAATAATGGTATATATATATATATGTATTATATATATAGTATATATTATATATATAATATACATTATATAATGTATTTATATTTTTTTTATATATAATAATATATATAATATTATGTATATATATATATATATATATTATTATATATATTATAATACAAATACATTATATAATGTATATATTATATATATATTATTTGTGTATAATATTTTATTTATTATATATTCTATTTATGATATATAATACAATTTAGTATAATATAGTATAATATAATATGTAATAAAATAAAAAGACTGTATATTTAGATATACACATATGATAACGTACATGGATCCGACTGGCTCTCCGTTGCACGGCGAGGAGTCCTGTATTCTGGTCGCTCCAGAAAGGCCAACAAATTTGCTGGGTATATAGATACAATATGTGTATATATCTACTAATAGCTATTGAAAATGACCATTGAAATAGTGGATTTTCCCATTGAAAATTGTGATTTTCCATAGTTTTTTGTATGTTTACCAGAGGGTAATACTATGTATTTGTATAATATATATAATAATGGATATATCTGTATATATCTCTATATATCTGTAGAATGCTATGTATATATCTACTAATACTATGTATCTGTATATATCTAATACATATGTATGTATGCGATGTGATGTA